TGTGTATGTATTGTGTACACGCAGAAACACGTACACGTACACGTGGGAATTGTGATACCTACGAGAAGAGGATTAACTTTCTTGGATACCAGCCAAGGAAGGTAGATATTTACAGTACCAAACTCTTCGGTAGTGGATACATCGGGACTGGATCCAATTATTACTTATGTAAATATTTATATATAAGAATTGCAAAATTTAACGAAAATCCAACTTACTGTGCTGCCAGCCCTGTGAGGTATGTATCTGCTGTACCAACCTCTCCGATAATGAACACATCCGGACCAAATCTTGATTCCGACAAGTACTCCAGACTGCGCGTTATGTTACCCATAGCACTGGATGTAAAGATAAACACATCCGGCGATGTATCATGTGGGTTTACCAGATCCTGGGCCGAGTATATATCCTCCACAAACGCTGCGTACTGGCTGCGATCAGGGTTCATGGAGACCTGAATGTCGTTAGTACTGTTTGGAGTGGTGTCTGGGTCTGGGACGGATGGCAGTAGAGCGCCCGTTTGATTAAAGATAACCACCCATTCTTTGTCGGGGTTGTTCTCCAGATAGGTGTCGATGCGTTTGACGAGACGTCCAGAGGAGATGATCGAATCCTCTGCGTGCGGGATAAGATAGTTGATTACATTTGATTTAAGCTACAGTGGCTAGGGCTCTATATACGACAAATTTTTCCCAGTTGTATTTGAAGCCATAAACACCTACGCGATAGCTACCCATATAATAAACACAGGCTTACCATTCAAGATAGCCAACGTCCTTGCACCCTTTTCATACTGACAATTTAGTAAGTCAGAGAAACTCTGGTATGGCATGCTCCCGTAGAAGTCGGGATATTTCTTGCTGTCAAAAGTCTCTGGCTCTGACGCACCTGATTGTGATAGGGAAGCATTCAGGATCAATATCATGGCTTCGATTGATATATGCATCATATCAAAGCATTTTTGCAGGATTGGTACGTGAACTGGCAAGTCCCAAATTCATACACGCGATCTATTCCTTTCGACCAGATGTGCTTGGATTCGATAGGTTCTATTACCTTTATTTGGAGGTAAAGCATGAACCAAGCGGCTGCTATTATCACGCGTCTTTATACTGGCGCGGGGGTTGATGTATTGCAGCTGAATGGATTGTTTTTGTCTAACAAGCGCGCTTACTACTGTTGTCTATCACTCAAAAATACACCACCTTCCACTCCAGCGAACATACCTATGGCTATCACAGGCCTCCTTAAGAAGGGGCGTAGTGGCATACCAATCGAGGCGGCAATTGAGGCTCGTTTGTTCTCATCGACGAGTATATTTCGCGCAGCCAGGGCACGGACTGTTGAGTACTGCGTTAACCACACATGGCAATCATACGTTTCATCGTGAACCTATAATCGGAAGATTTGGTACGGAGTGATGTTTTAGCTTGCTAATACACAGAATAGTCAATTAAAATATTATTAAAGAAGTAAAAATGATCCTTAAGTGCATTGTGGGCTTACTTCAAGTGCTTCCAACATACGGATCTCCTGTAGGTAGGTATTTATTTGAACAGCTTTTGCCCCAATAGTGCTGGCATGACCATTCCCCGCTGAATCGAAGAGAAACAAACCATTGATTAAAGGTCTTATCAGAGTACAGTATGCACAGCAAAATGATTGCTATCGCTGTGCGTATTTTTTAAAATAAATCGAGTAAATGATACAACTGAGATACCAAATAGGCTTGTAACCCTGCGATAACAACGACCCTATATACCATTTCTGTAGCCGGAATCTGTGCCATGGAAACTGACGTTGAAAACCGTGCCGTCTACTTCCCATTTTAGTCCGTTAGCAATTGCAAGTTCGTAGTACAGAGTACCTGACTATAATATGTCAGATGTCTAATATGAGTTTTGATACAAGTCGCAATCTTAAGATGCATTGTGGATGAGGTGGATGTTACAGCATGGATGACGAGTCAAGAGAAAATTTTCCCCACTATTTCGATACGCATTTTGGATGTCAAGTAACTTTAGTTGAATCTCTCCTTTTGCATACTAAGCAGCGCTGCGAAACTGAACAAATAAACGAGCCAGGTCATTACCAACCTCCGACAGTGTATCGAGAAGAAAATTTTCTGAACCCAGATCATCTTTGACATAACATATGTTGAGGTCGTCGGCTCCCACAGTACTTTGCATTAATAGGTGTAAGATATATAGGAAAAGCATTGTGATAGTATATACTGGTGGAATTCAAACTTCACAGGCAATCATACATTTGGTTCTCTATAATCGAGATCATTATATCTGTTACATGATCAATGTATTATGACAGTCGTGATCAATTCAAATTGTGAGCTCGGCAAAACAAGATCTTGGAGTGCAAATTTTTCATTTCGTAGGGCTTTTGCAGTTCTTTTAAAAAAATTATGAACCCCTCTGAGTAGGAACGGGTATCAATTGCTGTCATTTCGCCCTAAAAAATAGATGCTTTGCAATTTATTTATTTTTGGTATTTTACATTTTGTTTTAAAATAAAAGTAAATTCATGCTGCGCACGCTCTGTCTCTCTCTAGAGCTAGTAGTATAGAGAGAGCATCGCGATTATGGATATGATGTAGATTCGTCTTGTTCGAGTTAGGAGGCTAAAAGTCGCTACGAAGAATAAAACATACAGCGTGAGCCGTGAGCTCGCACAAAACAATGAATGGAATGATTTCGCGAATAACTCTATTTAGAAAAGCATCTCATTTCTCAATATTATTCATAAATATGACATAATCTCCTGGGAACACGTATTTGTTTTTTTGTTTTTTTTCAAAACAACATCCTACACAAGTGCCAATTGCCAAATCTCTATCTACTTAGTACAGTGTGTAAATATATATATATATATATATAAATATATATATATATTTCAAATAAATAATTACCTTTACATTAAAGATTTTTAATCTATTTATCCATACAAAAGGTAAGAAGACTGTTATATATTTTATTGTTATTTACAATATAAAATATAATATATAAAATTATAAAAAAGCTATTGAACAGTTCAAGCATATTTGATTTCTACCGCATTTCGAGTTCTCGACATGAATTTTTTATTAAATAAAAATATACATTATAAATAGTTGCCCGTGTTTTTTAAATATATTTTGAAAATTACATATATTTTTTATAAAATATACACAACAAGAGCGAAGAAAAATCTATGTCGTCTTCAACGTCAGATTTCAATATGATCCAACCGTGAAGCTATATATGTATATATACCTCTCTCTCTATAGTCTATACTCTCTCTCTCTCTCTCTTGTATGAGTGTGTGTAACGGTGAGAGTGGGAAGTTTATGAACTGTGAAGTGTGAAGTCACTTTGACTGTGAAGTCACTTTGACAGTTTGACAGTGAAGTCACTATGACAGTTTGACAGTGAAGTCACTTTGACTATGAAGTCGTGCTGTCGTGGTCAAGGGTACTCGCCGTGCCAAGACCGTGCCTTGTAATGAATTATGATTGATCATTCCAGATCAGGAATTCAAGATTATTGTGTATAGCTTTCGTGCTTCTAGCTCCATAATAGAAAGAACTAAATTGGATAAATAAGATGGCTCAACTTTTTTTCTTTTTAAATAGCTGTTGTGACTACTCTCTAGTGCAGGGTGCACTGTGCACTTCTTGTGCTTCGACGCAAGCTTCTGTCCGACCGCGTACTCGTCATTTTAAAAGTTTTAGCTACGAGATAGAGTAGAGAGTGAGACACCTAGAGAGTGGTAGCAGTAGACTATTCTGTAGATACGTCGCGAGTAGCGACTACTAGTAGAGCGAAACTACTACTCTCTCTCTCTCTATAGAGTAAAGAGACTCTCAAGTCTCAAGTCTCGGTCTTTCAGAGTCTCGCTCTCACAAGTCACAGACTCAGAGTGAGAGAGTAAATAGAGAGAGATAGCTAAAGATGGATAAATCAGATGGCTCTACTTTATATTTAGAACAAGCTCTCCTCTTTGAGATTCAGAGATAGGGTGTCCTCTGGGCTTCTTTCTGTTTTTATATTTAAGGTTCGCATAGTTTTATGTCGAATTCAATATTGTCGAACATTTTTCTCTCAATTTTATAAGCAATTTTTTTTTAAACAAGAACCAAAAATGACTTTTCATAGTCCTTTTATTTCTACCACCCGTTACAATACGTGAATTTTATTTTATTTTATCCGATTTGAAAGTTAAATAGTTTATAGGTGGCATGCTGGCGGCTGACCTCGGCTGTCTGTCCTCTCAGTTAGACTAAGTCAGAGCGGTCACTGGGTCAGACTTGGGTCCTCGGGCTCGGGGTAGTTACTATTTTTACTCATTCAAGACCTACTCATTAAAAAATGAGCTATCAGCAGGGTCAGGCGGGAGGCTGGGAGGTTTTCAATTTTGTCAGCCTTTACCTTCTAAAAAAACCCCCGATTTTGTTTTGTAAAAAAAACATTCCCTCGTGGTACTCTAAAAATATTCCCGGTGGTCGGGGTCTCGAGGAATACGATAATAGTACTCTGTCACGTCCATATAAAAATAGAATATTGTATTGTTCAATTAATAGTAGGCTATGAAACTCTATTTTAAAAATAGGAGCCTTAGGAGTCTCTGGGAGTCCACTGGGGACTTTGATGAGCGCCCGAGCCTCTGAGGCAGACTGGGGGACTGGGGCTCTGTGCAACTGGGGAGTGGGAACTGGGGCTCTGGCCTCTGGGCCGCCGCTACTCTAGTAGGCGCGCTGGGTGCGCTGGGGCGGCTGGGCGCTGTCTCATCAGTCATCAATCATCATTGTCTCTGGGCTCTGACGAGTCTGGCGGCTGGCCTGATGAGTGATGAGTCTCTTAAGGTTGTCGATTTTTATTTATCTATTTGAAAATACTATAATAAAAAAGTACAAAATTGGCTCTTTTGTGTGTTGTGGACTGTGGACTGTGGAGTGCGGAGTAGTGAGGAGTGTGGTGTGGAGCGTGGCCACTAGCCAGTGGCCACTGTTGATGTTAGACTGATCAAAAATTGGTTTATTTAACGTAATATGAATTGAATGATATTTAGGGTTCGTTCTGGTTACGGAATGTAAAACTGGGTACAGGTCCAAGCAGACATAATTTCGGAGATCACTGACGGTCTAACCTGTAGGTTGGCCCTCATATCGGTTTCAGGACAACCAGGTACGTACATGGAAAAAAGGCACAGACCTATTGGTTTAAAGCCACTGCAACGTAAAACGTTATGAGTTCACAACTTCAAGTCTTCAACATTGTGGAATGTGGATTATCTTGCCATCATCTTTCAGTTTCAAGTTCTATTGTGTTACGTGCGGGAGACCAGGAGTTGAAAACTTTTGTAATTTGCTACAAATTTATATTATTATAAAATCCATGTTTTGTTAGTTTTTATATAGAAAAATCGTTCGAACCTTTGTCTGGGCGGTGACATTCCCCGACAGGGGTCTCAAGCCTAACGGCAGGGTCCTAAAAATTTCTAGTATTTACCTAGTAGAGAGAGAGAGAGTATGTGGCCGTGGCATATATAGTGTCTACATTTCTACAAGATCGGCACAACGACGCAATCCATACAAAATGCGGTGTGTTTCCAAGCCACTTTATACGATGGGTGAACCGTATCAGAGACCAGCGACAGACAGGCAAGCTGTGCACAGTCACAGTTCAGGCTATACCCGCCAACTTAGCGATGGGACCAATCAGCACATCAAACAGGTTCTCAAATCATGGGTGGATAGACAATGAGTTTATTCTCTCAGGTAAACTTCAATACAGCCGATAATTCTTTTATAAATCAGTACACATTCTATTGCAGCGGTATATCCAGCCCCGTCTGATTGCGCAATGGGAAGGAAAGCGGACGCTCCGTCCAAGTATTTATTGTCGATCGTGAATGTGACATTTTGCGACATGCGGAATGTTGACCATCGCATACAACACCATATTTGCAACTGGGTCGATGGTAGCAAACACGGTCGAATTCTCGGTGTGATGCATAATCGTAAAAAAACTATCGTTCGTAGTTCGCACGATCAAAAACGCCCTCGGCCACAAAGTCGAATGTGTGTAGGGTACTGTAGCAGTCATTCAGGCAATTCTGTTACACCTCTCTGGGAAGAATAAATCAAGCCAGCAGAGAGCACATACAACTGCAGCATGGCGTGCATCCCAATGGACCTGAAATCTTTTATCTGGATTGGACCATTACAAAGAACTACATGTTGCAGCAAATATCAAAATCGTTGAATGTAAACTGATAATGGTAAATTATGCCGAATAATAAATTCGAATACAGTGTTAACAAATTCTGAGAACATCATATGGCCATAAGCATAAGCAGTTGTGTAAGCGTGTGCTTGCATAGATTTTCATCTTTTTCAAAGAATTGACCCGGTTAGTTGTATTTTTGAAGTATTTAAAAATCAAAGACTGCATTTCAGTATTTGAACATCAAATATTTACTTGCCTTCGTCTGAACAAATGTCGCACTCTTCTAATAGTAATTTCAATGGTCCAAGAATGTATAACGTCAAATCGTCACCTCTCGGGCTCTCACACCAGTTACCAACTCGCCACTCACCACTCTCTCAGTATGTAGCGTTCACCAATATTCAATTTCATTATATATTTGACTCTATTGCGCAACCGATCATAACTGGTCACGAGTATATTGTTTTTTTTAATATATAAAATGCATTACAGTACATATTTATATATTAAAAACACCGATTTTACTTAATAAACCTGTAGGACTCGGAGCAAAAATCTGCCAAATCTATTTTTAGAAGGCTTCCGCTAGAAATACGTAGGACAAACGGAAAGTTGCAGGCATTGAAGTTGACATTCTCACGAATATCCCTGTAATTTGATTGACTACATTCCATGAATTAAGACATGGGATGGGCCCTAAGGCATGAGGGGGTAAATGTACTGATAGAGCCTTTTGAAGCCCTTTATCTCGAAACAATCAAATTTGAAGATTTCTAAATCAATCAAAACGCATATATGAGACTTCATGGCCATACAAACTCTACAAATGCTTGATGTATTAGGTCTCGCGCCGTACAAGCGACTGTGCTAATACGCTTAGAGTCATATACAAAGGAGAACATGGTTGGCCATGAAACTAGCTCACCTAACTTTTGACGATATAATGTTGAATACCGGAAAAGTTCATAGCCTCCTAAAACAAAATCAAAAAAAGGAAAATTTGCTACCGATTTAACTAAATAAAATTGGTGTTTTTTTGTTTTTTTTAAATACACAACAGTATGAGTGAAGCGATGCTTTTATTTTGAAACAAAGAATAACAATATGAATTGACGGGTGCCGTATTTATTTATTTTTTAAAAACAGCTGTAATGGTAATAATAATCGATAATTTTTTGGATGCCTTCAGGCTAATGTCAATAAGTTATACGTAGTGTAAATATAAGTTGAACGTTAACCGTTATTTTTTCAATTTATAAACGGTTTAACTTTTATAATCTCAATGTTATTTGGTCAAAATCGTGGATTTTGCACTTCAGAACTGCACCTATATTCAACAAAAGCGACATGTATAGATATATTTGCACAATTTTAGGACATACTATATGATCTAGAAAGTTGCACCTAATAAATATCGGTTGTTGTGTATACGATATAAAAGTTGAACGTTACCCGTTAACTTTTCAAATTACAGGTTTAACGTAAAACTTTTTGACGTTAGCCTTCAGGTGGGGGAAAAGAGTAGCTGACTGAATATCAAAAATAGAAACCATGAAAGTAACTGAGTTGACTGGTAATTAACATAGTTTGAATGGCTGATTAAATTGATTCTCTTACCCTTTGCCAACAAAATTAAGTCCTGCCTGCGGACGTGTATATGCTTAGTCCAATACACGGGAGACTTGACTGCCTAAGCACGAATGGAATACACCCCTGACTCTTATACTACCTGAAGGACATGGCATAGTCAGAGTATCCCTTCAGGTGGGGGGGAAGAGAAAAAAGACGGGGTGGTAATCTTCTACATAAATAAATAAATGTCGAGGTTAGCCGTTAGCTTGTTCGGTTTATTTCTTTTTTAAAAGAAAACATTCGTATGGCCTGGAAACCAGATTCTAAAAATAGTCAATATCAGCTTATTTCACTAATACTATCTAGTAATATTTATGAAAGGTTTATCGCAAGGGACCTAAAAGCAGTTTAAAACGTATTTTTACATTTTTTTGGAGTCTAATTTAAAATAGCGGTTAAAAAAACGTAAACAGTTTCAGCTTTACCGCGTGTGACTGTGTGAGTCTTATCACATGTATTTTTTTATGGGGTCATTGTCATCATCATGTGAGCGTGAATCGATACAAATGTGTCAAGTATCTTCACATTTCAATATCTCTATACATATAGTATATTTATATATATATATTTATACATATAGTATATTTATATATATATATATACATGTAGTATATTTATATATATATAAATATATATATAGTATATTTATATATATAATATATATATCGTATATT